GAGACAGTATCTGGTTTTTTATGCAAAGGATTTGGATACATCCCTAAAGCTAGTGAGAGCATCAAAGTTGTCCTCGAAAGGGATAATCAAGATGATGATGATGATGATAAGCACAATGAAGATGGATCCAATCATCAAGATGTGAAGGTATCAAATATATAGACTTGAGGTAGGGTAAAAGCACTGAATGGATTTCAATGAAAAAAAACTAGGAAAGAAAAAGCATGTAGCGAGCAATCATGCAGTCTCTTCCATGTGTAACTTTCTGAAATGAATGCTATTATGAGGGCATGCATTTGTTCATGGAGGAATCTGCTTTTATATTGCTCATCCTATTAGATGCTTCATTTGGTGGCTCAGTTTGCTAAATTAAACTTAGCAACTGATAATAATAACTCACATGCTCCATTTTTGTGTAACATTCAAGTTTAAACATTTTTTCTGGAAAATAAATTATACATGTGATAACTATATAGGCTAATGAGACTAAATCTCGAGCATCCAATTGAATAACTGATTAATGTGAGGGAAATGTTTTCCATGGTGCAGGTATTAGCTGCAAATGCCTGAAAGGTTAGTGCTGTTTGTTTTGCACAGATAAACAAAGGGAAACAATGTCAGAGGCCAAAGAAGTAACTCAATTGATTCCCAAAATCATGAAGAGGAAAGGGAATGGTGACAAATTGGATAACATTACCTATGCTGAGAATGCATTTCAAAAGAGAGAAGAGAATTGCCTTTCTTATCGCTATGTAGTTGCTGAAGATACATAAGCTAATGGAAATTAGCTACATTACATATTCTGTTTTCTTTTTCTTTAACTTCTTTTTTTTTCCTTTCCCATATTCTTACTGCACCATGAAGAAGAAACAGAAGGAAATCGCAGGATTACTAGATAGACTACCATTGTTAAACTTGTTCACAGATGTAGCATCAACATCTGAAATATCATTATGGTCAGTTGTGCATATGACAGTGTCTCCGGACCATAAATTCTTTAATATTGGAGTCTGAATGGCCTGAACCTGGGTATTCCTGCTTTGCAGACTGACTTTTCTTTTGAGTGTACACTGAAGAGGCAGCTCTGACTGAAGCATGAGTATAGGGTGGAAAAGTGATCTGCATGCCACGTAAGGCATGGCTGCATTGATCTGCCTTGATTCAGGCAACATCCGTAAGAGCTCTTTCTCCTGCCTTATCTCCTTAGCTCTCTCCAATTGTCTGAACCTTTCTTGCATAAGAGCAATGGATGGATGAACGATTGCTGGATCAATCTGTCTATCTTCACTCATTGGAAGATGAAGAGGAACCTCAATGGGATTGATTCAAGCACTCTTTAATGAGACCTCATACGCATATGCACATATATATAGGACATAGCTAGGACTTAAGATGATTATTTTAATTCATTCATTCTGGCTATTTGATTCTGTATGACTAAAAGTTGGAATACAAAGGCAGCTGAACTGCAATGTGTAACAAGGCAGAGATATGTGGCCATGTGAATGGGTGTAAGTACGTCCAGGGAAGAAAATGGTCAGGAGCAAAATCTGAAGAGATGTGGAAGGTAGCATTTGGAAGTGTTTCTTTAAGGAGAATAAAAGACTGGGTGCGTTGTGTGTCGGCTTGTCGTAGAGGGCTGCTGGTATGCCTTTGGAGTCTTTTTGGTGGGGGATTTGGTCGGACCTTCCCATTATATTTAGCTTTGAACATTTTTTTTTTTCATTTGTGGACAGCACAAAACTTGAACACTCTAAACACAATTCGGACTCTGATGTTTTTATCAAAGAAAACCCTTTTATGGATAGGAGAGAAAAGAAGAATCAACCAAAGCCAAGCCCCTCTTTCTCTTTGTACATGTTCTGTTTTGTCTTGAAGCTTTTGGATGGAAATGGCATGGAAGATGAAAGTTGAGATATTAGATTGGATCTGTGGTTGTTGGGGGATTGACATTTGAAAAGCAACATATATCCTAAAGCTAGAGATAGAGGTCTTATTACCCCAAACAAAAAAATAGAACTCGCCTGGATTTAAAACAAGTGTCATTTATTGAATTTAATGTATGATCTCATCAAATCACATTTTAATTCACATGTTAACATATATAATTAAGTATAGAAAATAATTTGAGAAAATAACTCTTAAAATGATAATAAAAGATTTTTGATATACCTAGTTTAAAAGAATTTTTCTCTTATATTTATTTTTACAATCAAGTCTTAATAAAAGAAAATGGATTAAAAAATTTGAATTTTTTCTTTGGAAAGTAGTTGTTCAATCATAGTAGTATAAAAGATGATCTTAAAAAAAATAGATTAAATTATTATATTATATAAAATAAAACAATGATCATCATTAAATAAAA